TGTTCCGAAGTGAAATAAACTTCAACGGAATAAAGTTGAATGGAATTGAATTGAAATAAAGTTGAATAAACTTAAAATTTACTGTTCAGTGCACTGATGTCAGACTCATTTTGGATAATAAAGTTTATTGTTACATTTTTAAATGCCCTGCCTCCATTAGGTATCTTTGTCACGTCATTATAAGTGTCTGATCACCACATTTGAGTGATCGCAGTGTTGTGCATTTTGACCAGTTGATGGGAAAAGTATTCTTAAAATGCATTCAAAATTCGGAATAATTTGTAATATATAATTATTCACGGTATTTAGAAGTGCCCACGATAACAATATCGTGCATATTAATTACCGTGATATACAGCATTACCGAATACCGGCACAAGTCTACGTCCACTATATCGATATCGGCCTTTTTTTACTCCCTAATATCGGTATCGGCCCCCCAAAAAAAACATATCGGTCAGGCTCTAGTTTCATGATACGTTTATTATAATTATTGATATGGTGTTGGGTATCTTCTGTCAGAGCAGGGCAAAGGGGAGGCTTTTATCCAATGTAAAATCAGCTGGACAGCTGCCCAAATGTCTCTTAGTAGCTCAGTTGCTTGGAGGAAATGTCTTTGCCTGCCACAAAATCTGATGTCTGGGTCAGAGATATTGCAGTCAATGTAGTTTATCTGACAAGTATTTTAACTCCATTAGCAGTTTTGCAGAGCCAAATTCTGGCATGTTCAAGTCCAGTATAAGTGCAGTAAATATGATTCTTTGGTCTCCCTAAGTGGGTGGAGCTGTTAGATTTACATGGCAGTTAGAAGTTTAGGTGGGAAATGAACAGTTTAAATTGATGTTGCTTGGCAGAAATTATACATATTTATATCTAACACATTTATTTTAATCTCGAAGAATGTCTTTTTGGACATTTCTTTGCATTAAAAGGGAAGTCAGTTTTATTTGTATAGCACTTTTCACAGTACACATGGTCTTAAAGCAGCTTTACAGGAATTCCTGATATTAATGGTTATAATACCTTAATGTCCATTGTCCAGATTTAGCAGATTAGAGCTGGGTGATAATATAGTTTACATTTGACAACAGTATAAACAATCAAGCAGTTCAAATTTGCAATATAGTAGGGCTGTGCGATATGGACAAAAAAAAACCTATCGCGATTTCTTTTATCAATTTTGCGATTTCAATTTTAATCACGATTTTGACACACACAGACATGCTTTACAGTCATTAATGCATTCAGTGTGAATTTGAAACATATTTCCAAAAGAAAACCAATTAGAGCTTTATCAAAAAGCTGTAACATGTCTCTAGAACAGACATAAGGCAAAATAATCAAGTGTAACAAAATGTCACCTGAGT